TAGGACTCGCTTGCAAAACAGTCGAACCCTGTCCTCTACGTTGGTGCACCTTCCAATCCAGGAGATAATAATAAATAATATTAACAATCCTTGCGGTTGATACAGCGCCTTATCACGTCTTCGAGACGTCTCAAAGGACACTTCACAGAACACAGAACATACTGTAAAGTGAATTGACTGCGTATTTTATGGGGCGAAATGCGGCAGCCAATTGCGCACATCAGCGTTCCCACAAATAGTGGTGGATTGAGCGACCAAATTTTATTGTTAAGGAATATCCGGCTATCCCCGGAAAATTGATCCGCCAATCGATAAACAACCGGGTTCCTTCTCACTGCTGGGTAAACAGACTCATGTGTGTGGAGTAAGGAAACTTGCCCAAAGTTTCGTCCTGCCAGGAATTGAACGAACCCAGGTCTCTCGCTTGCGAGGCGAGCGCTCTAACCACTGAGCGGCAGGACTCCAGATAGTGGAGAAGGGCAGAGGAAGGGGTGGGGGAGGGTTAACAAATGGTTTACCCCTCTCACTAACTCAGGGAGTACGGGGGTTAATAACAGTAACAAGTGAGGTCTCAACTGCGATCAGCTCGCTAGCTAACTTGGCAGGATTCGAACCTGAATCTAGTCTGAAAGGCCCCGGGTGCTGCCACATCGATAGACCTTTTCCTCTCATCTCACCTCACCTTAGCACCCATCTCATCCTCCAAGGGTATGGAAGGACTGCCAAGTGCATTGATCCAGCCCCAAGGTAGGAATGGAGTTGGCTCAATTCTAGCCCTCAACCCCCGGCTGATGCTTCAGTGCAGTGCTGGGTGGCTCTGCATGTTGAAGGTGTCGCCCTTCAGATGACGGGTTAACCCCAAGTCTTTTTCGCACCCCCTCACCCCTCCCCATCACAGACCTCTTCGATTCCCGGTTCGACGAAGTAATGAAAGGAACGAACCTTAGAAGGCAAAGATCCTTCCGGGAAAACCCACAGAGTAACAGTAGACGTCCCCAATAATAATAATAATAATAATAATAATAAAATACAGCAAGAGCAAGAACAGCAAGTTAGAAAAAACATCTACAGAAGCTTGTACATCTCTTTGTAACGGACTCCTCGTGATAAATCGTTTTTTTTAACTTTACAATAAGGCTTAAAAAATCAAAACAATCTTTTAGGAAACGAAACACGACTTGGTGGAAACGAACATGGAGGGTGAGGTGCGTGTGCTTGGGGTGGGTGGGGGGATCTTCAGGGCTGCTGTGTTTCATGGCTAACGCTAGCATTAATTGACAAACACTGGGTGGTAGCACCCCGGGTTAATGTCTCGCCCTTTTCAGATCCCACCTTGGCAAAGGGTGGGATGGGCGGGCAAGGCAGGATGGGGCATGGGTGGGGGGTGAGTGGGAGGTGAAGTAGGGTGAGGCAGAGCAGGAGAAGCAGCATAGGGCAGGGTTGATCTGCCGAGTAAAATGCAAACCTCTCTGTTCGTTCCCCTCTTGCCCCCCACTATCGCACCCCACCTCCCTCCCTCCCTCCCTCCCTCCCTCCGGGCCAAAATTTATTCTGTTTACTCGGATTTAAAGTACCTTTTCCAAGGTGAGTCTTGGAATGAAAGGTGCCTTACAGTTGCCGGCAAAAATAATAATAATAATAATCCTTGCGTTCAATGTAGCGCCTCATCACGACGCCGAGACGTCTCGAAGCGCTTCGCAGAACATAGTGTAAAGTGAATTGACTGTGTGTTATTTTGAGGGCGAAACAATAAAGTTTCCCTCTCCCCGTCCCCCGGCCACAAACACTCTCAAACACTCATGTGTTTAATTATTATTATCTTAAATCCGATTAAACAATGAAACCCTTATTAATCGATGGGTTGGGTTGCTCTGGGGCCATTCGGCAAAATAAAGACAACATTTTATTGGTGGGGGGGGGAAGAACATAAAAAAGAGCACTTACCCGGGAAGAATAATACACACAAGTATGTGTGTGCGCGCGTGCTCTGAGACGCTACCCTACGCGAGGGGTGCTATATAAATGCAAGTTGTTGTTATACTGCCAACCTAATGCCAGCCTAATGTTTGGAAATGCCGCAAATTACACACCCACCCCTTCTCCCCCCCCGCTTCCATACCGTATGTTTGCGAGCGGGTCTGTGTGTAGATATACGCATACACATATACACGTTGCGTTCTTGTCTGTCTACTTGACTGCCACTTACACGAATGAGACCTGCAAGTCGTCGGACACAGAAATGTGACCGAGAGCCAAATTATAAAAACTCTCACAAAACATCTGCCTCAAAACCCTTTGGCCAGTAATCCGGGTAGCGGAGGAGAAGATGGACATTTTCTCCTCGAACGATCAATAATTCCCCCCTATCCCTCCCCCCCCCCGCCCCCCCCCACCCCCTTCCACCCCGCCACCACCGCCCCACTCTCTGAGATGAAATTTACTCCGTTTGCTGGAATTTAAAGTACCTCTTCCAAGGTGCATCTTAGAATCTAAGATCCAGATCTTTTGGGCTCTGGAAATGACCCAGATCTCAATGACGCAGTAGGATTCACGCTCTCTCCTCGAAAGCTGTGTCGTAAGTTTTTTTTTCTTTGTCTGCGGGGCGGAGGGGTTGCAGGACGAAGGCAGCCCCTGACTTTGAGAATCAGAGAATCATAGAACATTACAGCACAGAAGGAGGCCATTCGGACCCATCTCGTCTCTCGGTTCCGAGAGAAAGAGAGAAAGAGAGAGAGAGAGAGAGAGAGAGAGGGGTTGGGGGGGTTTGTGTGGCGAGGGGAAGGAAGAATAAAAAATATTAAAACAAGTAAAACTTCTGAGGAAAGCAGAACGATTGAAACGCTGCCTCGAGGCCGAATTGGACCGAATTGTTTTACTCTTCTAGCGTGTGCTCAAGTTAAATCGAATCTCTCTTGGAACAGAGATCCCAAATAATTTAATTATTTGAAGCAAGTCGTTCTGCTCGCGTGGGTGGGACTAGTCAAGACAGTTCAAGATGGCGGCTGGGGTAGCTGGGAATCGGGGAGAGAAAGGTCCATCTGAAAGGCCTCGCGAGTAGAAGGCTCAGGGTGGCGTCAACTCAACTCTGTGGGGGTTTCAGACACGTGTTACTTCTGCTAATTCTGAAACGCTCCCGAACGGCGATGGGAATAAAGGCCAGGCGCGCTCTCATGCGATAACACTACCCCCCCCACCCCTGCCTCCACCACCACCCCCTTCTTCTTCCCCCGTCAGGCAACCCATCGGTCCAGGCGGGAGACAGCAGACAGACACACTGACTCATTGCCCCTATCCTGAACTGCAGAGTCAAGGGGGCTGTCCGTGTTTCGACGTTTAACGGGCCGTTTGTGGGACCGTTAGCTGTCGGGGTACCCCACGTGGGTTTGGTCGTTCCCTTACTCTGTGCCCCGTCAGCCAGGGTTCATCCCATCTCAATCACGATTCACGACAACACCCCACCTCTCTCCTCCTGATCGGTTTGTTTGGAGGGTGAGGAAGGGCTTGGATTGGAGTTCAGATTAGGATGCCTTCTCCTTCCCCTCTAATCCCACTCCCTCTCCGGTGCTTGAATCCCTTGTGACACTGTTATGGCACTTACTCACCTAACTCGGATGTGGTACACACGGAGGAAAGGGACATGGAATTGGCCCTCTGGGAAATGAGGAGCAAAAGGGAAGAGAACCAGAGAGGAGAGAGGGATGGAAGAAAGAGAGAGAGAGAAAGAGAGAGAGAAGGGAGGGAAGGCGAAGAGAGAGAGGGAGGGAGTGAGAGGAAAGGAGGAAAGAGAGATTGAGGGAGGAAGGGAATGAAGGGGTGAGGGGGAGAGAGGAAGGGTGAGAGGAAAGATGGAGAGACTGATAAAGAGATGGGGGAGGTGGAAGGAGAGTGGGAGAGATGGAGGGAGAGAGGAGGGACATAGGGAGAGAGGGAGGGAGGGAAAGGGTGAGTTGGAGAGACGGACTGAGAGAGGGAGAGAGGAAGGAATAGGCCAGCAAAGGTTGTGTCCACTTTATCGTGGTGGGCGAGGGTGGGGAGGGAGAGAAGGAGGACAAGGAAAAGCACAAGTCTATTGCCCTCAGGTTGGGACTTAGGAAGAGGTAGAGCCTAATGCAACATTAATAACAATCCTTGCATTTATACAGCCACCTTATCACGTCTTTACGACGTCTCAAAGCGCTTCTCAGAATATACTATAAAGTGAATTGACTGTACAGTTTATGGGGCGAAACGCGGCAGCCAATTGCGCACAGCAGCGTCCCACAAACACTCGTGGAGATTGGAGTGACCGATTTATTATTATTATTATTGTTATAAATTTGTTTTTGAAGGGATTATTACCCCCGGAAAGGCGATCCGCCAATCGACTGACAACCGGGTTCCTACTTACTGCTTAGGTAGGGGGAGTGCAGGTGGAAAAAGAATAACAACATGAAGACTTTGGCCACTATATATAAAATATATATATGTATATAATAGAGAAAGAGAGAGAGAGAAAGACATTTGCTACCTTTTTACTCCACAACGAGCTTTTACATGGTACATTTTTATTTTCAGAATGGCCAAAAAACAATGGGTAGGAGGAGGATGAACCGAGTGGGGGTGGTGGGAGGTGTAGGGAAGCGAGGGGGGGGTGGGCGAAGAGGAGCGGGTGTGTGGGGAAGGTAGAGGGGGGGCGGGGGCGGGGGGGTTAGGGAAATGGGGGTTAGGGAAAAAGAGAAATTAGACGGAATTATATATATATATATTTTTCAAAAATCCTTCCAGAAAAAATCGAGGCCGGTTTTGCTTTTCTCATACAACTGAACAAGCAAGTTATTGTGCATGTTTCCCCCTCCCCACCCCCCCCCCCCCCAAAAGGCGCTGTATGTAATGCCTCAAGCCTCTCTCACAAGCAGCTACTTCTCATCCCTACAAGTGGTGGTGTCCAAGGTGGGTGGGTGGGGGTAGGTGGGGGGTGGAGTGGGGTAGGTGGGGGGTGGGGTGGGGTGGGGGGGGGGGTTTGGTAGGGTGCAGTGTGGGGTGGGAATCCTTCCTTCACTGAGCTCACGACAAAGCTCCCTCTTGTCGCCATTATGCTTTGCTGCCGCCTTCTTTCGACTGCGTGGTCATGTCGTTGGTAACTGACACCTCCTCAGTCTCTGGACTCAAGGCCTCTTTGCCGTTGTCTTCCTTTAAGAGTGACTTTCTGTGGAGAGTTACGTGAGAGAGAGAGAGAGAGAGAGAGTTGGTTCATAGAAACGGGAGTAGGCCGTTCAGCCCCTCGAGCCTGTTCCGCCCTTGCCCCTGATACCCTGACCTCACAAATTTCCATCCGCCTCAGTCTTGTAGATGTGAATGGATCCCGCCATAATCCACAGCCTTTTGGGAGAGGGTTCCAGATTTCCACTGCCCTTCGGGTGAAAAAACTGCCTCCTGATTTCACTCCTAAATGGTCTCGCTCGAATTTTATGATGATATCCCCCTCCCCCCAACCCCCCACCCCGTTCTGGATTCCCCAACCCACCCACCAGAGGAAATAATTTTTCTGTATCTCCCCTAACAAATCCCTTTATTATTTTAATAAACCTCAATTAGACCACTCCTCAACCTTCCAAACTCAGGGGAATAATACTACTACTAATAATAATAATCCTTGCATTTGATATAGCGCCCTTATCTGCCTTCGAGACGTTTCAAGACGGTTCGCAGAGCACACTGTCAAGTGAACTGACCGTATATTTTGTGGGCGAAATGAATAGAGACCAAGTTTATGCAATCTGTCCTCATGACTGAACCTGTTTAGCCCTGGAATCACTCTGTTAAATCTATGTCGCACCCCCTCCAGAGCCAATACACCTTTCCTGATGGTGTGGTGCCCCAAAACTGCACTCCAGAATGGATCTGTCAGCCTGGCTCAGTGGGTAGCACTCTCACCTCCCAAGCCAGAAGGTTGCAGGTTCAAGATTCCCACACCGGATACTTTGACCTGATATATATGTATATATATATATATATATAACGTGTATATAGTCTTGGGCTGACACACCAGGGGGTGTTCTGGGGGTTGTGTGCTTCACTGTCGGAGATGCTGTCCTTGGGAAGGGATATTAAGGCGACATTATTATAATTTTTTATTACTATTAAACTGAGGTCCGAGCCTGCTTGGATTCCGCAAAAAACTATTTGAAATGGGAAGGGAGTATATCCCGTTGATCTGGTCAACGATCGCCTCAATAAAATTCTGCTGCTTGGGGGTTATAATAATAATAATTTTTGAACTTGATACGGCGCCTTATCACGTCTTCGAGTGACCAAATTATTATTATTTCTTTTTATTTTGGGGAGGGAAGGGACTATTATTATCACTCACTCCACGACCTGTTTGTGAGACCATGTTGAGGGCAAATTGGCTGCCGCCTGTTGCCCACAAAACACGCAGTCAATTCGCTCCGCAGTCTGCCACGTGAAGGGCTTTGAGACGTCTCGAATACGTGATAAGGCGTTGCATCGAGTGCAAGGATTATTATGATTATTATTATTGCTACTTACTCCGGTTCTGTGAGGGGTGTGGTCTCATTCGGCTCATTGACTGGGCTCCCGTCATGGTTTGTGATTGGTTCCTCTTCCGTTCTCATCTCCACTATGGGCTCTTTCGATCCATCTTTGCTGAGAGAATAAACAACCACAGAGGACCGGTAAAGAGACCGGAGGTTTAACAACAACAACAACTTGCACTTATATAGCGCCCTTCACACAGGGTAGCGTCTCAGAGCGCTTAACAGTGGCGGAATCTGACTCTGAGCTGGGGAGGGGCGGGGAGGGGGGGAGGATGGGTGGTAGTTTTCAGGCGGGACTTGAAAAGGGGAGGGGGGGGCAAGGTGGAGGGACTAAGGGAGAGTCATTCCAGAGTTTCAGGGCGGAGTGGCTGAAAACCCGGCCTCCGATTGTGGGGCCGAGGGTGCGAGGGACGAGCAGGAGGCCGGTGCTGGTCGAGCGGTGGCGCTGGGTGATGGATTGGGGAGTGAGGAGGTCGGAGAGAGCCAGCTGTGTGACGTACAGGACTTGAAGGCATTTAATAATAATAAATAATTATCCTTGCATTTGATATAGTGCCTTATCGCGTCTTCGCACGTTGAGACGTCTCAGTCTGCTTCGCGGGAGTTTAGCGTGTCATTTGAAGGCAAACGCGGTAGTCAATTTGCACACAGCAACGTCCCACAAACCGCCGTGAGGTGAACGACCAATTTTATTTGGGGGGATTGTTGGCCAGGACACCGGGAGAGAGAAACTCCTTTCTCTTTTCGAATAGCGCCGCGGGATCTTTAACGTCCACCTGAACAGGCACAGACAGGGCCTCGGTTTAACGTCACATCCGAAGAACAGCGACAATGCTGCGCTCCCCCAGTACTGTACTGAACTATCAGCCTACGTTCAACATGGGGCATGAACCCACAGCTTTCTGTTTTACAGGTGAGAGTGCGACCCAATGAACCAGGCTGATACTTCCCCTTTAACAAACCTCTGCTACATTTAGACTCACCTGGCTGCCATTCACACACACACGCACTCATACACACGCTCGCATACGCATGCACACACACAACACAAAACACACATGCACACAAAACACACACGCGGATAGAGGGTTCATACTGATGAAAAAGGGCTCACAGGTCTCGGACTGGGTGGAATTTCAGTCCTTGGTCAGTTTCCCGGGATCCTTGCATTTGATACAGCGCCTTATCACGTCATTGAGACGTCCAAAAGCGCTTCGCAGAATATACTGTAAAGTGGAGCGACTGTACTTTTTGGGGATGAAACCCGGAAGCCAATTGCGCGCAGATAGAGTGACCAATTTTGTTTTGTTTAAAAAGATAATTATCCCCGGAAAAGCGATTCGCCAATCAACTAACAACCGGGTTCCTACTTACTGCTGAGTAAACAGAGGCGCGTGTGTGGAGTAAGGAAACTAGTCTAAGGTTTCGCCCTGACCCGCCTGGGGATTCAACCCGGGTCCTCTCGCTTGCGAGGCGAGCACTCTAACCACTATGCTACGGGGTGACGGAAAAGTCTGCAGTCGGACAAAATATCGCAAATCCCTTAGGAAGAAATCCCTTTGAAATTCCCAGCGTCTTGCGGGGAATCTGCAGTCTGCCTTTCCCTTCCCATCCCCTCCTCCCATTCTACATCGGGAGCGGATTCCTTATCTTCAAGATGTATCGCATTAACCAGCCTGTTAATGCAATGGCTGTTTATTAGGCACTTAGTCTGTTAGAAGCAGAAAGCACGATTGCCTAATTGATCTAATTTGCACGCTCCATTTAAGGCGTTCCTTCTCTGTGGCCCAGTAAGAAATATACCCATCGACTGAACGCTGGATAGATTGAACCACTTTTAAGTTATAGGGAAAAGTCAACTACTTAATTAACCAAATTTGCTCATGCATATTAAGAACTCATGAGTATAATTAGGAATTTACCATCTCCAATCAAATAATGAATACACTGTACGTTTCACAAAGCTGGAGCTTATGGTGTTTGGGTAACAAATGGAAGTGGATTTGGTTTGTGTCACTGACGGTGAATCTGTCGGTCTTCCTTCTTTATAAATATAGGGGAGTCCTGTAGGTCAGTGGTTAGAACACTCGCCTCGCAGGCGAGAGGACCGGGGTTCGATTCCCGGGGCAGGGCGAAATGTTGGGCAAGTTTCCTTTTTCCACACACACACACACACACACACACCCACACACACACGTTCTGTTGGCCTTGCGGTAAGTAAGAACCCGGTTGTTAGTCAATTGGCAGATCGCTTTTCCGGGAGGTAATAATCCCTTCAAAAAGAAATTTAAAAACATTTGGACACTCAATCCACGACTGTTCGTGGGGACGCTGCTGTGCGCAATTGGCTGCCGTCTTCGCCCACAAAATACACAGTAAATTCGCTTTACAGTATATTCTGTGAAGCGCTTTGGATGGTTAAAGGTCGCGACACTGAACAGAGAGGTGTGTTTAACATCTCATCCGAAGGACGGCACCTCCAACAATGCAGAGCTCGCCTCAGCAACGCATTGGGCTTGTCAGCCTTGCGAGTTCAAAGTCCCGGCGTGGGGGCTTGAACGCACGACCTTCCCACCCGGCTTGTAGCCTCGGAGAGGACACAGAGGAGATTTACCAGAATGGTACCAGGGATGAGGGATTTCAGTTATGTGGAGAGGCTGGAGAGGCTGGGATGGTTCTCCTTAGAGCCGAGAAGGTTAAGAGGAGATTTAATTCACGTGTTCAAAATTATGGGGGGTTTTGATAGAAACTGTTTCCACTGGCGGGTGAGTCGGGTCATAGATTTAAGATAATCGGCAAAAGAACCACAGGGGGAGATGAGGGAGGAGAAATGGGTTTTACACAGAGAGTTGTTACGGTCTGGAACGCACAGCCTGCAGCAAGTTTCTAAAGGGAATTGGATAGGTACGTGAAGAGGAAAAATTTGCAAGGATATGGGGCAAAGAGCGGGGGAGTGGGACTGATTGGGTAGCTGTTCCAAAGGCATGATGGGCTGAATGGCCTCCTTCTGTGCTGTAAGACTCTTATGTTTCTATTACCGAGCCTAGCTGAAATTGGAATCGCTTCAAGGACATCAATGGAGAACCCGAGAGATGGTGGTGGGGTTCAAAAAATTGTTTAGTTTGATAAATAAATGATTCAAAAATCCTTGAATTTGCACGTCTCAAAGCGCTTCACTGGAGTCACTGTGAAATGGACTGACCATGTATTTGTGGGCAAATACGTTAGCACAATTGCGCACAGCAATGTCCCACAAACAGCCACATGCAGGCGTACAGGATACATTGATGTCGTGATTCTTGCTGGAGATCAATACCTTCCCGCTCAACACCCCCTTCAGCCTCTCTGCCCACCCTCTGAAACTCCATCCCATAGTCCCTCCGCCTCTCTCCCACCCTCGCCTCCTTCAAGACCCGTCTCAAGACCCTCCTCAACGACCGTGCCTTCGGTCACCCTCCTACCCCTTACCCTCCCCTGCCCTCTACCTCCTCCTGATCCCAACCACCAGCTCGGGTGGGACGTCCTCCTGACGTGAAAAGCGCTGTGTCAATGTGATGTGTTGTTGTTGTGGTTGGAGCCCCATCATTCCCATTAACAACGTATCTTGGACCTGAACCCCCCCACACACCACCTCCGCCCTCTCCAGTCCATCCCTCCTGTGAGTCCTCCCCTTCCCCTCCCCACCTCCGCTCCCCTCCCCGTCCATCACTTACAGATACGCGGCTTTGCCCTCCTCCGCGTCCTTGGTTTTGGTGCTAGAGCTGTTGCTTTTGCCGCAGACACGGGTGGTGATGAACATCAGGAGGCCGCACTGCTTGGTGAAGAAGCAGCTGACGTCGGTGATGACGAGGATGACGAGCAGGGCGCACACTCCCAGGCCCACCACCGCGCCGAGACCCAGGCTGCTGAACAGCGTGTCTGCAAACACAGAGAGGTGGGTAAGGTCAGTCGCTTCCGCTCTCGCCGGCCGTCAGCTCGACTCATCTCTGAAGGCTTCAGATCATCCTTGCTTTTCCATCGGCACTTAACGGTTAGAGTGCTCGCCTCGCAAGCGAGAGAACCCGGGGTCGATTCCCGGGGCAGGGCGAAACGTTTGGGCAAGTTTCCTTACTCCGCACACACACGCACGCACACACACACACGCACACACACACACAGACCTCTGTTTCAGCAGTAAGTAGGAACCCGCTTGTTGGATTGACTGATTGCTTTCTGCGGGTAATAAATAATACCTCCTCCAGCCCCCTCCACCACCCCCCCCAATAAATGTGGGTCGCTCGATCCACGACTGTTTGTAGGGACGCTGCCGTGCGCAATTGGCTGCTGCGTTTCGCCCACAAAATCTACAGTCACTCCACTTTACAGTATATTCCGTGGAGCGCTTTGAGATGTATGAACGGCTCGATCAGGCGCTGTATAGAAGGTTTAATCGGCGACATGATGAAATTTAATACGATTTAATCCAGCCTTTCACGTTGGGAGGATGTACCAAGGAGCTGGTTAACGCACGACACTGAAACATTGCAAAGCTCTTCACAGGGATAAGTTTAAAGTGCAGTGACTGTGCATTTGAGATGTATAGAAGACGTGAAAAGCACTATATCAAATGCAAGGATTATTATTATTATTATTATTTTTGGAGGCAAACCCGTCAATCGATTTGCACGGAGCAAAGACCCACAAACAGCCAATGACCAATCGTATCTGGGAGATTGCTGGCAAGGACAATAATAATAAATTAGTCATTTTGAATCTACGACTGTTTGTGGGACATTGCTGTGCGCAAATGGCTGCCGCGTTCGCCCACAAATATACAGTTAATTCACTTTACAGTGTGTTCTGTGAAGCGCTTTGGGACGTCCTCCCGACGTGAAAAGCGCTATATCAAATGCAAGGATTATTATTATTATTATTATAAGGACACCTTTTCGAATCGTGCCATTGGATCTTTAGGTAGTGTTCCTCTCCGATTTGAGGATGATGATGCCAACAATGAAGAGAGTATGCGCTCATGATGGATGGATCCATTGATGACTAGAGTAATAATACTAATAATCCTTGCATTTGATCCAGCGCCTTATCACGTATTCGAGACGTCTCAAAGCCCTTCACAGAATACAGTGTAAAGTGAATTGACTGTATATTTTCTTGGGCAAAATGCGGCAGTCAATTTCGTACAGTTGTCCCACAAACAGTCGTGGATTGAGTAATCATATTATTATTTTTTTTGAAGGAATTATTACCCCCCCGGAAAAGCGATCTGTCAATCGACTAACCACTGGTTTCCTGCTTACTGCTGGATAAACAGAGGCGTGTGTGTGTGTGGAGTAAGGAAACTTGCCCAAGGTTTCGCCCCCTGCCCGGGGAATCGAACCCGGGTCCTCTCGCTTGCGAGGCGAGTGCCCTAACCACTGAGCCACAGGACTCCACATATGGAGAAAGGGTAGGGGTTGGAGGTGGGGGAGAGATGGGATTAAATGGACTGACGATACAGGTTGAATGGGCTGAAAAGCCTCCTCCTGTTCCTTTGTTCCATCAAAGGAATCCTTCGGTTTCAACCCACAAGATCCCTTGGGGTCTGAGGCCAGTTTAGCAAGTCTTCTGATTACAATTTTGGATGTGCATCACTCGTGCAGAAGCCTGTATTTAGGCCTTAAGTGAGCGAACATCTTGTGTAATCACACAGGGACCTGCAGTCTGTGTCACATAAAACATTAACAGCGATTGGAGTGTCAGTGTGAGAAACGGTAATGTGTTGAAGAGCGTTGGTGTTCAAGCCATAGAACACAAGTCAGACATAGCGAGCGAGAGACAGAGAGAGAGAGCGAGAGACAGAGAGAGAGAGAAAGAAGTTCTGCTCACTCACTCGCTTGTCCGCCCGCCCGAAATTTTTGGGGGGTCAGCTGGGTGTCTGACACACGCGGAAACCTATCACTGTGCTTAAGAGATTTCATGCATCCACCTGCACATGGAAATTCCAGAGATAGATTGCTGGAATGGAACGCACACACTCTCTCTCCCTCTCTCTCTCGTTCTCGCTCCCCGGCGAGACTCATCCTGCTTTACCTAATTCCGGAAAGTATTAGGTGCAGGTTGGCAAGAGCCAAGGCTTGGGGGGGAGCCCAGAGTGTGCGTTGGGGGTAACTGCTGGAGTCTAACCGGCTAAAACCACAGAGCTCGCCATTGATGTCGCTGTCTGGCCAAGCTTTCCCGCTGCTTGTCCAGCTAGGACCACGCTCCCCGTTAGGGCTTTGGCTTGCGGGGTTATCAGGAGCTGAATGGGAGCATTCCCTGCCCCCAGTGACTGGTCGGCCTTTCCAGGACCTGCCGACGAGCCAGGCCGGGCTGTGCTGTCATCAGCAGTGAGTAGCCTGGAATACTGCGGTCCCAACTGGCTCAGGAGAACTGGACTGTTTACTGTCGCAGAAGGCTGGCTCCATTCCGACATCCCATTGCCAGGCATGTTACCTTGGAGCCAGTTCAGTTCTAAGGAAACCCCGCTTACCTCTTCCCCAAGGAGGATAGTCAAATTAGAGTAGAATTATAGTAGAATTAGAATAGAATCGTTCCAGCGGGGGTGGGAGTTAGCACAGGTGCCAAACGGCTTCCATTATCTGCTGTAATTTTCTACAATATTTAATTTGAACACTGTGAGGCTTTTGTTCGTTTGCAAAAATTGGAAACATCCCATCATGCAGATCTACTAATGTCAACAAACAAAACCATCTCCATTCACACCAAATAACAATGCATAATATTAGTAACAATAGTAATAATCTTGTCACACTTTTCCCGTTGGGCGGGTGTGTTGAGGAGGGCAATTTCACAAGACCACAAGAGAGGTTTTACCAATAACAACAACAATTTGCATTTACACAGTGCCCTTCACGAGGGGTAGTGGAGTCTGACCCTGAGCCAGGGGAAGAGGGAGTGGGGAAGGTGACCGTAGGCACGATCAAGAACGAAGGTCTTTAGGTGGGATTTGAAGGTGGGGAAGGAGGGGGCAAGGCGGAGGGATTGAAGGAGGGCTTTTCAGAGTTTTGGGGCATAGTGGCTGAAGGCACGGTCACCGATGGTGGAGTGGAGGAGCCGAGGGACAAACAAGAGGCCGGAACCAGCTGAGCAGAGGCAGTGGGTGGTGGAATGAAGCAAGTTGTCCTTCAGCTCATCTGCTCTTGTCCTTCTACCATAACAACATCACGCTGTTTCCTAAATGAGTTCCAGTGTCCTGAAGACAACCAATCTTCCTGATAACCCAGTTCCATTGGTTACCAGTCCTCTGGCGTGCGAAGCAAGTGCTCTAACTACTGAGCTACAGGACTCAACAGACCAGAACTGTGCACAGTACCAAGCTAGAGCTCGTGACAGATTGAGTGTGCCTTCTGGAGATCTGATCTCAGCTCATCTGGCAATTCGGTCTGGCATGCTGTTCCCCCTCCTTCACTGCTCCGATCAGCTCACACTGTGAGCTCAAATCTCTCATTGTGGAGTCCTGTAGCTCAGTGGTTAGAGCACTCGCTTTGCAAGCGAGAGACCTGAGTTCAATTCCAGGCAGAGGGCGAAACCTTGGGCAAGTTTCCTTACTCCACACAGAGCCTAATAATAATCCCTCCAAAACCAAAAACAATAATAAATTGGTCATTTTCAATCCACGACTGTTTGTGGGACATTGCTGTGCGCAATTGGCTGCCGCGTTCGCCCACAAATATGCAGTCAATTCACTTTACAGTGTGTTCTGTGAAGCGCTTTGGGACGTCCTCCCGACGTGAAAAGCGCTATATCAAATTCAAGGATTGAAAAAAAAGCGTGGAACTTGAACCCACAACCCTCTGACCCGCTGTCTGACTGAGCCAGACTTGCATTGGCCCAATCTGCTTTCACAAAGCTTTCTGTTTATATGCATTGTCCTTTCTCTCGTTTAAATTTTCACAAGCAAGAGGACCCGAGTTTGGTTCCCGGGCAGGGCAAAATGTTGGGCAAGTTTCCTTACTCCACATGCCTCTGTGTTTATCCAGCAGTAAGTAAGAACCTGGTTCTTAGTCGATTGGCGGATCGCTTTTCCGGGGGAAATAAATCCTTCAAAAAAAAAAAAAAATTGCTCACTTCAATCCATGACTGTTTGTGAGACGTCGCTGTGCGCAATTGGCTGCCGCGTTTCTCCCACAAAATACGCAGTCAATTCACTTTGCAGTATATTCTGTGAAACGCTGTGAGACGTCTCAAAGAAAATGATAAGGCGCTGTAGCAAATGCCGGGATTATTATATTATTATGTTATTCTCTTGAAGCAATTACCGTGTGCTCCAGTGTCTTTACCATGACTGTTGTCAAGGAAACAGTGATTTCTCTCTCCTGCTGTCCTGGCCGACAATCCCTCAAATAAAATTGCTCGCTCACTCCACGGTGATAAGGCGCTGTTTCAAATGCAAGGATCGTTAGAAAATATCAGAGCGAGGGTTTCACATCGGGAGGATATCTTCACAAGATATACTGTAAAGTATACTTAAGTATATATTAAGTATTAAGTACACTTAATATATAAAATAGATGGAAACTTGGGCAACGTTTCGCCCTGCCCGGGAATCGAATCCCGGTCCTCTTTGCTTTGCTTTGCGAGCGCTCTAACCACTGAGCTGCAGGACTCCGCAAATACTGGAAAATATTTGCTGAGTTCAAGAATAGCCTCCCCTCTCCCCTCGCCTCTCCCTTCACCCCCCCCGACCCCCACCCCCCCACCCCCCCCCCTCCTCTCCGCTGCCCCATGAGTCACGAGTTTCAAAGAACGGAGAGGTTCAGTTAGTAATCTGGGAGTTTAGTAATCTGGGATTCTGTGTATCTCATTACCCAATGCTCTCGCAAAATCACACGCGCTCTCTATCAATCATTGGCAACGGAGGCAGGTCCCACACAAAAAAATAACCAAAAAGAGGGTTTTAATTTATTTTGCCTGAGATTTATTCTGTTTGAAGACCTCTTTGATCTCCGTGGCTCAGCAGCTGACAGTACACAAACCGCTGGAAACGCGTGTGATAGATGAGACTACAGAGGGGAAGCGATTATCCGACTAACAGTAATCACTCTCTCTCTCGCTCTCTCTCTGTCTCGCTCTCTCTCCCTCTTTCTGTGCCTGTGATCCTGGCTTTAATACCGCCGCAATTTACTCTCCCTCCCCAACAGAGCTGCAAACACGTCCACAGCTCTTGGCACCCACCCCCTAGGCGAGGGGGGAGCTGCCGCACATTAACGGGCGGGCGTTCTGCTTGGTTGGCTGGGAGACAAAATCCTTTCCCCACGCGCCATCTGCTCTTATTCACTCAGTGATCACTTGGGGCCTCACCGTCTTGGACCTCACCACCATCTACAAAGCGATCTCGGACCATCGCTTCATCTCCCTCAACTCCTCAATCCCTCTCCCCACCGCCACCCAACCCACCTCCATCTCCTACCGCCCCACTCCCCACCGCTCCCTTAAAGCCCAGGCGTGTTCCGCTGAGCGCACCCGGCTTAAATCAAACCTGACTGTCCACCTGCAGATCTGGCTGGACCTTGTTAAATCTTACGCCTCCGCTAAATCGTCGTTCTACTGCAAGACAACCTTGGAGGCTAAGGACAACCCCAGGCTCCTCTTCGCCATCACGAACCGGCTCCTCCACCTACGCTCTCAAGCCTCGCCCATCCTCACCTCAAATGCCAACTGCGAGGCGATGCTGGACTTCCTCGAATCCAAAGTCGAGGGAATTCGCTCAGCTGCCTCTGCCACTGCATCTGCTACCCCCTCCCCATCTCCTCATCCCACCCTGGCCCCTATCCATCCCTCCCTCCACCTTTGAACTTGTCTATCCCTCCCCTCTTTATCACCACCATAACCTGTATGCTCCCTCGACCCCATCCCTACCCCACTCCTTACCTTCCAGCTCCACCTCCTTGCCCCTCTACTCACTGACATCGTAAACCTCTCCCTGTCCTCTGGTGTTGTTCCCATCCCATTAAAAACCACCGTCATCACTCCTATCCTTAAAAAATCTTCCCTGTACCCTTCTCTACTCCCGTATCCAACCTCCCCTTCCTCTCCAAGGTCTTGGAACAAGTTGTTGCTTCTCAGCCTCACTCCTTCCTCTCCCGCCACTCCCTGCTCAAACCCCTCCAATCGGGTTTCCCCCCCCATTATAGAATCATGCAGCACAGAAGGAGGCCATTCGGCCCATCGTCGTGCCTGTGCTGGCTCATTCGTAGAGCTACCCAATTCCTTCCGTGCTCCTCTTTCCCATCTCCCCCCCTCTTCACCCCCCCCCCCCTCCACCCCACATTGCATCCAAGCTCCCCCTTCCCAACCCCTTTTGCGGTCACTTTATGTTTTAACACCAAACTCAATCTACCCGCTCTCTCCGCTGACCTGCTCCATGTCTCCACCTTGCTCGCCTCACAGATAGTCGTGGATTTAATGGCCAAATTATTATTATTATTCTTTTTAAGGTATTATTACCCCCGGAAAAGCGATCCGCCAATCGACTAACAACCGGGTTCCTACTTACTGCTGGGGAAACAGAGGCGTGTGTGTGTGTGTGTGTGGAGTAAGGAAACTTGACCAATTATGAAGGTGAAGGAGATGGGGGTGCCGGGGGGATCATTTTGACATATTCTGAAATCACTTGGAAAACAAAACATGGCAAGTTTCAAAAAGTGCAGCAATGCAGACGTGTTAAACAAGTCCTATCCATTATTGTAATAATAAATAACAATAATCCTCGCTTTTGATACAGCGCCTTATCACGTCTTCGAGATCTTTCAAAGCGCTTCACGGGATGTACTTTCAAGTGAATTGACTGTATTATGTGGGCGATAGCGCTCTGAGACGCTACCCTGTGTGGACGGCGCTATACAACTGGGAGTAGTTGTTGTTGTTGAAATATGCAGTCAATTCACATTAGAGTTCCTTCCCTTCCCCCCACCTCCCTCTCTCCTCCACCACCCCCCACCCCCCCTCTGTGTTTGTCCCCTGATGGAACATGATAGATGGCAATGGTTCGAACATGATAGATGGCAATGGTTAGAACATGATAGATTGCAATGGTTCATTCTATGTGGTGAATGGAGCCAAGTTTCAGGTCAGTCCCAGGCTTCGTTGACAAACAAGGACCCAAAGGTGATGCATTGTCAACAGATGTGGCTAAGTGTGAGAGGTTGGGGGAGTGGAGCAGGCGATCGCAGTCATAAATCACCGGCCAAGAAACAAAAGAGACGGAGTGAAAGAATGAGAGAGGGGGAGAGAGGGTCCGGAGAGACAGAGAGAGAAGAGAGAGACAGAGGGAGAGGTAGAAGGAGAGGGGGGGAGTGAGGGGGCGAAAGGGGCGAACAATCAGACAGGGTTCCTGCTCTGGGATCTTATGCAACAACAAGAAGTTGCATTTAAATAATAATAATAATCCTTGCATTTGATATAGCGCCTCTCATGCAGGGTAGCATTCCAAAGCACTACCCCACGTGCGAATGAGGGCCGAGGTCAGGGGACATCCCAAGTCCTAATAACCTTCTGAAATAAAAAAAATCTCCTAACCTCTAACCCCACCCTCACCCTTTGGTTATTTTTTGTCATCTTGCAGAATTGTGTCTTCCTTTGAAGAGGAAAACCTTGCAGGGATATGGGGAAGAGAGAGTGCGGGGGGAGTGGGACGGATTGGGTAACTCTTCCAAAGAGCCGGCACAGGCTCAATGGGCCGAATGGCCTTGTTCTGTAATATTCTACACAGTTCTATGATCTCAAAGTCATTTCCTGGAGTCCCCGACTTCACAGACCAGAGGGAAGTAATTTCTCCCGGTTGAAATTCCCAAACGAAAACCCTGAGGATTTGTTGAACCTTATCGAACCTTCCTTGTTCCAGTGAATGGGAGCCCCACGTTCTCATTAGGTGAAGTTTTCTATCTCTGGGTGGTTAGTCACCGCAAAAAAAATGGCCAACACGAGCCAAAGCCAAAAAAATCATCCCTCGACTCGAAATCCAGGGGTGCATCACGGCTGGAATCCCGTTCGGACTCACACCTCAAACCCCTGACCGTCCAGCGCCTCGAGTCTTCCTCCCGACCCGAAAGGCGCTATACAAATGTAATCTCGTTGTTATTGTTTTCGCAACCTTCCGATTCAGTGATGAGAGCGCGAGCGAGTGAGAAAGTCTAACACCTGATCCTTTTGTAGCAAATTGACAGCCGAGAGAAAGAGCGAGGGAGCGAGAGAGGGAGAGAAAGAAAGAAAGAGAGAGAGAGAGAGCTCTGAAACAGATGAGACAGGAGACAAAAGAATGTTTTCTGGCAAACTGCAATTATGTAAATGTGTCACTCCGGAACTGGCAAGGCTACGCTGCTCGGATGTGTCTGATATATTTAATAAGGACAATGTTATATTCAATTATAAGAGTATTAAGCAAGGCTTTGCACGGTTAACCACGAGACATACATGAGCCGGGTGACTCTATGCCGGAGGGGAATACCTCTGATCGGGAGTCGAAGGATTGAGAGAACGCAGGGTACAATCTGTGCCGGCTGGCTTGCGCAGCATCGCAAACTACAACAACAATTACAACCCTTTACGCACAGCTCCTTTCACGTCGGGAGAACGTACGTCTCTACGCTCCTTCACAGCAGAGGAATAATAGCCCTCGCGTTTGATACAGTGCCTTATTGCGTCTTCGAGACGTCTCAAAGCGCTTGACAGAATGCACTGACTGTGTGTTTTGTGGGCGAGGATATGTTACTTGAGATCTACTAAGGGGCGATGGAAGTCACCGAGTGGTGCTGGCGTTGGGTTTGGGGGGGGGGGGGGTGGGGTGGGGGGGGAGTGGAAGGAGGTGGTGTCACTTACTGCTAATGGTGTTGGGTTTGGGAGGCATGGTGAACTCGTACAAGGTGGGGTGGGAAGAGCCAAGACGGTTGATGGCTGTGATCTCCACTTGATACTGCACGTCCCATTGTAGGTCCTCCAGCACAATGGAATCTTTGCTCCCCTCGGAGGTCTTCTGTATCCACTCATCCTCCTTGTCCTTCTGTAAGTAGGTGAGAGGTTTATCAGTATCACACGGCCACTGAGTTACCTAACCTATTGGATTCCTTAACAGGAGCGTGTTCCACCCACAACTATCACGACCTCTCCGACCCGCAAGCCCCTTATCAAACTGTCCGTTCCTTCTGCTCGGCGGCGGTCGGGCCTTCAGCCCCTCTCCCCCTCCAGCCTTTGAAACTCCATCCCACATTGCCTTCACCTTGCTCTCTCCCTTGCCCGCCTTCAAGGGACATCTCAAGACCCTCATCTTCGACCATGCCTTCTCTTACCCTCCAACCCCACCTGATCCCAACCCCCACCCCCCCTCCCGATCCCAACCCCCTGCTCGGGTCCAAATCCCTGACCGTCCCAACGCCTTGGGACGTCCTCCCGACGTGACAGGCGCTGCACGAGTGTAACTTTGCATCGTATTTCTGTTCTTGTGAAAAATCCCTTAATAAATTTGTATTGTTATTAATAATAATAACAATTAATAATAATAGTTATTCAAAGGTGAATAAAAAAAATATAAACACCTTGCAAACAGTAGCTATTTTAGGGAGCTCAAATGTATTAAGAAAAGTAACACCCATTCATCATCGAGTGCCAGCACAACGACAACAACTTGCACTTGTATAGCGTCCTCCACGCAGGGTAATGTCTGAGAGCGGCCAATACTATTAGCCTACCCGACCCACCACTGAAAACCATTCGGGAGTGACCTCTCCAGAGTGATTTCAACGGTAATAACATTATCGTTTGAAACAGTGAACACCAACAGGAATGCACGTGTCTGTTTTGATGCAAACGTTCACGCATGGATTTGGTATTGTGCGCTTCGCTAACGACTGCTCGTGGGGACGCCGCTGTGCGCAATTGGCTGCCGCGTTTCGCCCACAAAACGCACAGTCGATTCACTTTACGGTGTATCCTGTGAAGCGCTTTGCGACGTCTCAAAGACGTGAGAAGGCTCTCTATCAAATGCCAAATGTATGAAATATTATTATTATTATTATTTCACATCGTCCCAAAATGTTTAAAGATCCATTATAAAGTGTAGCGACTGTGTATTTATGGGTGAATGCACATGTGTACATACATACACACACATATTAACACATATGTGCGTAACACACACAGATGAAAACACAGGTGGGGGGGTGGGGGGTGGGGAGAGGGAGAAAAAGAGAGAGAGAGATGGAGTACACACCATTGATATTCTGGTGGTAATGTGCTTTTCATTTAATCAGGAAGGAAACAAATAAAATTGCACTACATGTAAAATATTTGCTGTTAATGACACCCATCAATGAGAGCAACAGCGTCGCTGAATACAAAGCATGAATGACCCCAATCTTGGTTTGAACCGACATTAAAAAAAAATCCTTCCCTGTACAATTTACGCACTAACCACAATAATATCTCAGGCATTACATGGAACGGTGACATTCTGCAGCCCGGAATGAATTCTTTCGTGCTTAATGCATAATTGCCAGTAGCACTGTTCTGCCCCACGGAAGACAGATACATTGATTGAAACCGTATGATACAGATTGCACCTCGCTGCCTAGTCCTGGGGCCACAAAACTTAGTGGTTCTGAGTCAGAGACTTGGGGGAAAGTTCGTAAGGAGTGAGTGGCTTGTGTTAATTAACACGTGCCTCGCAGAAAACACCAAACATGGTCGTCATAACAGTAATAATCATCATCAGGACAATCCTTGCCTCTGTTGCAGCGCCTTATCACGTCTTCGAGATGTCTCAAAGCGCTTCGCAGACTACTCTGTAGAGTGCAGTGACTGCGTGTTTTGGGAGAAACGTGGCAGCCAACTGTGCACAGCAGTATCCCATAAACAGTCGTAGATCAAGTGACCACATTATTATTATTGTTGTTGTTATTATTGTAATATTTAGATTACTCCACACACCTCTGTTTCGCATGCAAAATACACAGTCAATTCACTTGACAGTATATATTCTGTGAAGCGCTTGAGACGTCTCCATGAAGTGATATGGCGCTATATCAAATGCAAGGATTATTATTATTAATTATGATTTCTGTAAGTGTTGACCTGGCTCAGCTGGTGGCCGGTGGCAGGAGGATAAGGTGATGACTTATAACACATGGAAAACACGATCGTGATACGACTGAAACTTTCAGCTGGTAATGCAGAACTTATGATAATATAATGTAATAATCCTTGCATTTGATATAGCGCTTTTCATGCCTTCGAGATGTCTCAAAGCGCTTCACAGAACACACTGTAAAGTGAATTGACTGTATACTTGTGGGCGAAAATCCCACCTTACACATGGAGATCCCAGAGATAGATTGTTGGAATGGAATACGCTCTCTCTCTCTCTCTCTCTCTCCCTGAAGGGACACATCCCGGAAGGTATCAGGCGCAGGTTGGTAAGAGCCAAGGCTTGGGGACTCCAGAGTATGCATTGGGGTACTTGCCAGAGTCTAACCAACTAAGACCGCGTAGCTTGCCATTGATATACACTAAATGATACAGTTTCGAAGGAGGTTCAAGAGCAGAGAGACCTGGGGGGTTCACATTCACAGGTTTGTCTTTGAAGGTGGTTGATAGAGCTGTTAAAAAAAAGCGTATGGAATCCTTGGCTTTATAAATAGAGGCATAGAGCACAAAAGCAAGGAAGCTCTGCTAAACCTTTATAAGTCATTGGTTAGGCCTCAGCTGGAGCATTTTGTCCGATTCTGGGCACCACACTCTAGGAAGGAAATCAAGCCCTTGGAGAGTACGCAGAGGAGATTTACCAGAATGGTACCAGGGATGAGGGACTTTAGTTACGTGGAGAGACTAAGAAGATGGGATTGTTCTCCTTTGAACAGAGAAGGTTAAGTGGAGGATTTAATAGAGATGTTCAAAATAATGAGTGGTTTGGATTGAGTAGACAGGGAGAAACTGTTTCCAATGGCGGGCGGGTCGGTGACCAGGGGATATAGATTTAAGGTGATTGGCAAAAGAACCAGAGGGAAGATGAAGCGAGGAGAATTTTTTTTTACACAGAGAGTTATAATAATAATAATAATCCTTGCATTTGATATAGCGCTTTTCACGTCGGGAGGACGTCCCAAAGCGCTTCACAGAACACACTGTAAAGTGAATGGACTGTATATTTGTGGGCGAACGCGGCAGCCAATTGCGCACAGCAATGTCCCACAAACATTCGTAGATTGAAAATGACCAATTTTATTATTGTTTTGTTTTGGAAGGATTATTATTAGGCTCTGTGTGGAGTAAGGAAACTTGCCCAAGGTTTCGCCCTCTGTCTGGAATTGAACTCAGGTCTCTCACTTGCAAAGCGAGTGTTCTAACCACTGAGCTACAGGTCTCCGAGTTGTTACGGTCCGGAATGCGCTGCCTGAAAGGCCGGTGGAAACAGATTCAATAACAACTTTCAAAAGGGAATTGGATAGGGACTTGAAGAGGAAAAATTTGCAAGGATATGGGGGAAAGAACAGGGGAGGGAGTAGGAACTGATTGGGTAGCTCTTCCAAAGAGCCGGGACAGGCACGATGGGCCGAATGGCCTCCTTCTGCATTGTAATATTCTATGATTCGACGATAAAGAGAGGGAGGGGGAGAGAGAGAGAGAGAGAGAAGGAGCTGTTGAAACTCACAGTACTCACGCTCCTGTATCTCAGGAAGTACTCCAGAATGGGCGATCCACCATCATCTTGCTCAGTCACCATCAGCTTGTAGTTCTTGTCACTGCCGCTGTGGCCTTGCACCTTGGGCGGAAGGGGTTCTCCTGCAACCAAAGCAAAGAGGCAGAGGTTCTCAGCGGCTTTCAGACCAACAGGTGGCAAAGAAGAACGGTGGGAAATCGTCCCACGCACGAGCCCAGACAGAACGTTACAAACAACGGCAATGCCAAAGCTTCAATGCCAAGACAATAATAATCCTTGGATTTGATACAGCGCCTTATCACGTCTTCGAGACGTCTCAAAGCGCTTCACAGGAATATACTGCGAAGTGAATTGACTGTATATTTTGTGGGTGAAACGCGACAGCTAATGGTGCACAGTAGCGTCCCACAAACAGTCGTGGATTGAGTAAATGATTTTTTTATTACCCCTGGAAAAGCGATCCACCAATCGATTAACAACTGGGTTCCTACTTGGTGCTGAATAAACAAAAGAGTGTGGAGTGAGGAAACTTGCCCATCGTTTCGCCCTGCCCAGGTATTGAACCTAGGTCTTCTCGCTTGCGAGGCGAGTGCTCTTACCATTGTGTTACAGGACTCAAAATATATACCGTTTTGGATCCATTGGGCCATCCCCAAAATCAGTTCCCTTCATGAAGCAACCCATTGAGATTCTACGTAACAGGGAATAAACCAAACCCTTTCCATGGTGGATTCCTGTAGCTCAGTGGTTAGAGCACTCGCCTCGCAAGCGAGAGGATCCGGGTTCGATTCCCGGGCAGGTAGGGCGAAACTTTGGGCAAGTTTTCTTATTCCACACACGCGCCTCTGTTTACCCGGCAGTAAGTCAGAACCCAACCCGGGTGTTAAGTTGATGGTCGGATCGCTCTTCCGGGAGGTAACAATTCATTCATTCATTCAAAAAAAATAAACTGGTCGCTTAATCTACAACTGTTTGTGGGGACGCTGCTGTGCGCAATTGACTGCCGCGTTTCGCCCAGAATATATACAGCTAATTCGCTTTAGCAGTATATTTCTGTGAAGCCCTTTGAGGTACCTTAAAGAGGTGATATGACTCTCTTCTAAATGCAAGGATTATTATTATTATTACTCCCAATGTGTACTCTCCCCATCCCACTCGCTCACCATTTTACACAACCCGCCTTCCTGCTCGCTCGCCTTGTACAAACTTAGCTGCCGTACAACGCCTACAAATCCAGTGGAGTCCTGTAGCTCAGTGGTTAGAGCACTCGCTTTGCAAGTGAGAGGCCTGAGTTCAATTCCAGGCAGAGGGCGAAACCTTGGGCAAGTTTCCTTACTCCACACAGAGCCTAATAATAATCCCTCCAAAAACCCAAAACAATAATAAATTGGTCATTTTCAATCTACGACTGTTTGTGGGACATTGCTGTGCGCAATTGGCTGCCGCGTTCGCCCACAAATATACAGTCAATTCACTTTACAGTGTGTTCTGTGAAGCGCTTTGGGACGTCCTCCCGACGTGAAAAGCGCTACGTCAAATGCAAGGATTATTATTATTATTATTATCCAGTCACGACGCTTTCCAGTAAATCCCGTGCAGCGTTTTTTTTTACGCAGATGTTTTAATGACTCGATAAGGCTTTGTATCAAATGTCAGGAATATAATTGCAGCTGTTATAGTGATACTGTGACGGATTTGTATACGCCCTCGCGAAATCATTTGTTTCAGTAACAATGCGAGGCAACAATGGTTACCTCAAGGTCATGGGCACATCGCCAAAATCTGAACAGTTTGTTGTGTAGGCTGACTGGGGAATGAGTTTCTGAACGACAAAAGCAGCGATAATAATAACCCTTGCATTCGATGTAGCTCCTTATCGCACTTCGAGACGTCTCAAAGCGCTTCACAGGAGACACTGTAAAGTGAATGGACTTGTGGGAGAAAAACAGCTTAACAATAGCGCCCGCAGTGCACGAAGTGAATTTGTCATCCAAAGGACGGCACCCCTAACACTGCATTGCTCCCTCGCGCCCCCCATCGAAGATGGTGTGATTAGGAGACAACAACCACAACAAATGACATCTAAACAGCACCTTTCATGTCGGAAGAACGTTCCAAGGAGCTGGATAGTCAGGGATTTGGACCTGAGCTGAGTGGGGAGTGCGGGGGATCTTATTCTATGGTAATAAGAATTCTCCGATCGCCGATGGTGGGGGGGGCCGGGCCGGGCTGGGCCGGGCGGTGGGGGGGGGGAGACGCGAAGCAGAGGATTCTTATTACCAAAGAATAACAACAACAACAACACTATTCGAAAAGAGAAAGGAGTTTCTCTTCCCCCGTGCCCTGGCCGACAATCCCTCAAATATAACTGATCATTCACTTCATGTCTGTTTGTGGGACATTGCTGTGCGCAAATTAGCTGCCGCGTTTGGCCACAAGCGCACAGTCACTCCATTTCGCGGCAAAATGCTGTGAAGCGCTTTGGGACGTTCTACTGACGCGAAAGGAGCGATACTAATTGCGAGGATTGTTATTATTATTATCATTATTCTAACAACGACAATGAATTGCATTCATATAGTGCCTTTCATATCGGAAGGACATTCCATGGTGTTGGACAGTAATGGAAGACGATCGAAGGCACGGCGGTCAAAGAATCTGGAGACGGACCTGGAAACAGGCAAAGGAAGGGGGAGGCGGGGGAGAGGTGGAGGGGCTCTGGGAGGGATGGAACGGCAGAGCGTGGGGGCAGAAAGTGCGATGAAAACATTGCCAGCGCGGACGGAGGTCATTTGTGGAGTCCTGTAGCTCAGTTGGTTGGAGCGAGTCTCCTTACTCCACACATCTCTGTTTACCCAGCAATAAGTCGGACTCCGGTTGTTAGTCGATTGGCGGATCACTTTTCTGGGGATAACAATCCCTTCAAAATAATAATAATAAATTGGTGACTTCAATCCACGGCTGTTTGTGGGACGCTGATGTGCGCAATTGGCTGCCGCGTTTCGCCCACAAAACCACACAGTCAATTCAGCTTACAGTGTATTCTGCGAAGCGCTTTGAGACGGCTCAAAGATTTGATAAGGCCCTGTATCAAAAATGCAAGGATTATTATTATTAATATTATTATTCGGGCCATCATTCTCCGAACCCATTTTTCTGACTGCTCCCCCGACCTCGCTTCTTTTTTTAAAAAAATTGAATCGCATCTTCCAGCTGTTTTCCCTTCCCGTCATTAAGGAAGCGGGTCACATTGCTTAAGTACCTCATTTTCTTTCCCTTCCGTGGCCTTGAATTGTATTGTGGAGCTGAACGCAATAAACATCTTGCATTCTCCTCTCACAACGTCTGATCCCTCTCACCCTGAACAGGGTGAGGCTTCTGATACTGCGTGTGTGTGTGTGTAAGTCTGTGTGTGTGTGTCTGCATGTGTGTGCGTGTCTGCATGTGTGTGTGTTAGTCTAAGTGTGTGTGTTTGCCTGTGTGTGCATGTGTGTCTGTGTGCACGTGTGCGCGTGTATCTGTATGCGTGTGGGTGTCCGTGTATGTGGATGAATCCAAAAGCCAATTCAATTTTCTCAAAGAATGCGCAGCTGTTGTCTGAAGTCACAGCAGAAACCAGGTGTTTTTTTTTATCCCTTCCAATTGTAAACCCCGGAGTTGCTGAGAATCAAAAGGCTCTTTGTAACCGCTTCAGCTTGAAATAGAGGTCTTGTACTTCCCACCCTTTCCCAATTTCAAAGCCTAATTGAGAATTTTTGTTTGACCTCGCTGGGTTTAGTGACGGTCACCTCTGCCTTTCACTCTCTGTCTCATCTTCGAGACGTCTCGAAGCGCTTCACAGAATATACTGTGGAGTGAATTGACTGTACGTTTTGTGGGCAAAGCGCGGCAGCCGATTGCGCACATAATAATAATAATAATAATCCTTGCATTTGGTATAGTCGGGAGGACGTCCCAAAGCGCTTCACAGAACACACTGTAAAGTGAATTTACTGTATATTTGTGGGCAAACGCGGCAGCCAATTGCGTAGCAAACAGTCGTAGATTGAAAATGACCAATTTATTATTGTTTTTGGTTTTGGAGGGATTATTATTAGGCTCTGTGTGGAGTAAGGAAACTTGCCCAAGGTTTCGCCCTCTGCCTGAAATTGAACTCAGGTGTCTCGCTTGCAAAGCGAGTGCTCTAACCACTGAGCTACAGGACTCCACGCACAGCAACGACCCCACAAACAGTCGTGGATTGAGTGACCAAATTATTATTATTATTATTTTTGAAGGGATGGTTAGCCCCGGGGAAAAGCGATCCCTCAATCGACTAACAACTGAGTTCCAACGTTTTGCCCTGCCCAGGAATCATGTTCACGTTGGATGTGGCACTGGCCTGTTCACGTCTCCTGCCTCGCCCGCCCCACCATTGTCGGGCGGAACCTTCTACCACTCTGCCCCCATCCTCTGGAACTCAATCCCGCAGTCCCTCCGCCTCGCCGCCTCCCTCGCCACCTTCGAGACCCGTTTCCAGACCTTCCTCTTCGACCGTGCTTTCGATCACCCTCCTTCAACCCCCTGCCCTTCATCCTCCCCGATCCCCAGCTCGGGTCCGAAACACTGATTGTCCAGCGCCTTGGGACGTCCTCGCTATGTGAAAGGCACTGTACACATGTCATCTTGTCGTTGTTATGGACAAGATAACAATCATAGACTGGGGTAACGCCTGTTTCTAGCCTGCAGATGTCACTGCAACACATCTAAGAAGAGAATATAAAAACAAAGCGTATCTATGAAGGATTTTGATAAGAGTAGATCGGGAGAAACTATTTCCTCCGGCGGTGGGCCGGTAGTCAAAGGGCACAGATTTAAGATAATCTTTGGGGAGGGGAGACCAGACGAGGAGATGTTATTTTACCCAGAGAGTTGTTATGGTCTGGAAAGCACTGCCTGAAGGGTGGGGGTGTTGGGGGGGGGGGGGATCAAAGCAGATTCAATGGTAGGTTTCGAAGGAAAAAGGAAGAATTTGCAGGGCTTTGGGGTAAGAACAGGCGAGTGGGGCTGATTGGATACCTCTTTCAAAGTGGCACAATGGGCTGAATGGCCTCCTCCAGCGTTGGAGGATTCTGAGGGTCTG